GATCTCGCCTCTTTCAGATTTTGTCGATTGGAAAAACTAAGGCTGCGCCCGGAAACATCCTCTTATTATTTAACCTTATTATCATTCAATGTTGAATAAGGAAGATAAGATGATATACGAAGGCACTCGGGTGATGTTTCCGAACGCAGATTAACTCAAGACCTTTAGAGAAAGCAGAAATTGCATCTTATCAGCTGCCTCACAAACAGACTAGCACCCGCCCGGCGCTGATCAAACATAGTCTTCTACAATGATCACGAGTATACCGCACAACTATCACACAATTCATGATGGAAGTATAATAGGTGTGCTCTTGCGCACTTTGGATAAGAAGAGCGGTACCCAGAAGTCACGGTTTTATATGAAGTTATTTGATTACGATTTATGGGAGATCCTAAAGTTGCCTGTTTTACTGATTCATTGTCAGTAGGACTAACACACATACAGCAGTATAGATGTATAGACATTCTGCATATGTCTCAGGACAAAAAAAATCAAATATATTATATATACCAATTATGCATATAAATGTAGAAAAACTGAAAAAATATGTAGTCTATGAAATACCATGTAGCAATGGGTTAACTTTTTTTTTCTGTTTCTTACAGTTGGCGGTATGAGTCGGCCATCCAAAGCCGTGACTCAAGCAAAGAAAGTAGCTCCACCAGCTGTACCAGATGTGTTTCGACATTCCGGTTCCTCTTTCGGCTCGGCTGGATATGCTAGCAGTGAGGATAATTGCTTCCTCTCTGGAAGCGGCCCCGGAGGTACGACAGACGATGGTTCCTACGTGGTGCCATCTGGAAAAAGTCCAGGACCTATTTTTACACATTCGGGCTTCACCTTTCCGCCGGTGATTGGCAAGTATGCCCACGCCGAAGATCAAGGTGCGAATTACATGTAAAGTTATATTATTAGACTAATTCTTTTCTAACGCGAAGAGTAAAATAGGAATGGACATGGTCGAGTATTTGCTTTAAAAATCGATTATAAATAGACGCGATTGTAAATTGCTTTTCGACTATAGTGCAATTAAGGTCAGATAATCTTGTCCGTTATTCCTGTCGATCTCTTCTTCATACGTTAAGCCTCTAGCCTGTGTTACACTTCTCATATGCTCTTGTGGTGCGCACGTTGATTATTTAATTGCCACGAGCATATGTCGACCTCAATACTAAAAAATAATTGATTGATTGTTTGAATAATCGATAGATAGCTAAATCTATGGTGGAAGGATAATGTCTTTGGAAAATATCCTTCTACTATGGCTAAATTTATCAGAAATAAATCTTATCAAGGTAAAAATTCGCTTGCATTTTATCTTTGTTTCTGTTTTATCTATCTTATATGAAGATTATATATATGACAACTAATATTTTTATAAGAGGTGCTTATTAGCATAAAAACATTATTAAATTGTTTCATTTAGTAAGTAATATTACTATTCTGAGAATTTCCTTCTTATGCGTTTTAAGATTGAAAAAGGTTTTGGCAACCAAATATAAGTTTTCTCTTTTATTTAATTAAATCTATTCTCGTTGGTCTAAAAATTTGTATTACATTGTTTATAATATTAATTTCAAAGTAATATAATTGTAAAATACGAATGTTTGGATATTTCTTAGGTATTGATATGACTCAGAGTCCTGGTAGAGACAGTCCTGGTAGTTCCGGATCAGGTTCCGGTTCTAGACATTCTACGGCGTCATTGGATTCTGGAAGAGCGTCTGGATATCACTTAGGACTTAGAGGGCCCGGTGCTCTTGCCTCGTCTCCTAGATGCTCTATTAGTTCACTCGGGAGTCATCCTGATCGACCGACAGATCTTGACGTCGTTCACGCTTGGTTAACTGAACTCCAATTCGAGGAATATTTTCCTTTGTTTGCTTCCGCAGGTTATGACCTTGCAACTATAACGCGTATGACACCGGAGGATCTCACGGCTATAGGTAGAGCACATATTGTAATAACGAGTTTAATCTAAGTATTGTTTATCTAGTTTATAAGTATTACTTATATAGATTAGTTACAATAGGCCTGTCCAAAACTCGGCTCGTAAGCCGAAACACTTCCACATTTTTATCGTCTCGATAGAGCGAGACGAAGCGTAAATAACAAAAGGATAGACACCAGCGCTCCGCCTGATTCAGGTCTGTCTAAACATCGTTGAAATGTAACGTTGCAACATATTGCAGCAGTATTGCTGCAAACTTCTGTGCTGTATAGAAGAACATCCATATTTTCTATAATAAAAAACAAAGATGCCTGCAAAAAATTGGTATAGCATTATTATGGGTGTTACTATGGAGAAAGTATTCCATCATAGGATGTCACAGGCAGAGAATGATAGACAAAATAAAAGACTGCAACTATGATTACAGATTGAGAAACGGGCTCTCTCGGCTTCAATTTTCAGCGCTTGGACAGACCTGAATTCTAGAGTCTATCTTTTGTTATTTACACTCCGTCTCGCTCTATCGAGACGGCGGAGAGATGGCTGGACGAAGAGTTTCGGCTTACGAGCTAAATTTTAACAGGCCTGATTTAAACAAATATACACTTTTTTATACATTACATTATAGGTATCAAAAAACCCAATCATAGGAAACGACTAAAAGCGGAAATAGATAATTTAAATATAGGAGATGGTTTACCAGAACATGTGCCTGGATCGCTCGAAGAATGGCTCAGGCTTCTCAGACTTGAGGAATATCTTGGTGCTCTTCATCAACAGGGTATGCGATCCGTCGAAGACGTGACAACTCTCACTTGGGAGGATCTTGAAGACATTGGTATAGTACGATTAGGACACCAGAAAAAATTATTGTTAGCAATTAAAAGAGTTAAAGATATTCGCGCTGGCAAGCGTATACAACCACTTGATCTTGCGCGCCTGCCGCCACATCCTGGGCATACGCAGGTAAATTATAAATTCTCTATTTTTTCTCATCAGTATCGAATTTAGTTGGAAAAATCTCCTAATTATTTTAATCAATATATTAATAATGTCATGCAATAATAAATTACTGTATAATTTATGATTTTTTAGGACGTTGTTATTCAACGAAGTGGACCTGATTTACCATCACCTGATGAAAATTGTTCTTCGCCTGTGCTTAGATCTTTTCAAAGAGGTGGAAGCGATACTACTTCTGATGTTACTTGGAAAAGTATGTACGCCGCGTTTCCAACTGATTACAATACAGTTGGCCGTACTAGCTCCCGAGGAAAATCTTTGGAAAGTCTAGAGGATGCGCCTCTTGGTTATCCTCCATCACCAGCTCCAACGTCGCATCCACAATCTCTCGATTGGCGTCCACGCAGTTTTGAAGATGGTGATCTTACACCCACGAATGATGTTTCCGTTGTAGATGCTGGTGGGGGCACTCTTCCACGACCAAGACATTGTCTCGTTCGTCCACGACCTGTAGCCAAGGTATATTCGATTGTCTTGAATGTATAGATATGCTTGAAGCAAAAATAGATGGACGAGAAAAATTTATGTGCTGATTTGATGGTTTTAATCCAAGCTATATTATGTCAACAACGTACCTGTGTTTGTATATACAGTACATACAAACTGTTATATATATTACACTTATTACTAACTCCACATTTTCTTATGTAAAAGTGCTGCCTGCGTGAATTAAGCAGGGGGCAATAAACTCTTGCATAACGCATAACAAAAAGCATAAGAAATTCAACCAATCAGAGTTCTTTATTTCATGAAAAGAAAGGAAACAAAGGACTTTAATTGGTACATTTTCTTATGCATTACGTATTATGCGTTATCCACGAAACGAGTACCATCCCCCTCCTCCCCTCCCCCTCCTCCTACTTAGGGATGCAACTTTCCATGTGAAGCGAATTCCAACTTCTTCTCTGCTTAGAAGTCTCACGTTAACGGAATAATTTTCATATTAAACAGAGTTTACGACATTGGAACGGTTCAAATATGGCGGTGCTGGAAGTGACGGTGGGGATTCGAACTCTAGTGGGAGTTCAATGTTTCTTTTATATACAGGACTCTATAGTAGACCGTCCATGAAATGGCAACCCCTGATATGCGCGTATTATCACGTCACGCGTTTCGCGCATAACAAGTAGTTGATCTAATTCAAAGATGGCCGAGGTCCAGCTCATCTCCTTCCTTAGGATTGTCCGATATTCCACGCAAAACGAAGTTTATACTATCTCTCCCGTAACTCCTCTTTCTCTTTTGTAGAGTGGACCTCGCTTCGCATAGAGTCACGCAAGGATGAAGGTTTGGGATAGTCCTTAATATTGTACATAGCAGAAGTAAGACATAATATTTTAAACTTTTTTTGTTAATAATTTTTATTATTAACAAAAATAACAACGAACGATGGGTTAAAATCTGTTAGAGGTCACTTAAAATAATGACTTTGATAACATATGTCAAGGTCATTGAATTTTGAAAAAGCTGACTTTATGTAAATATTTACTTTAATTTGAAATGCTTTTAATTTTTCAATAAATGAATTAAATAATTAATTAGAAAATTATGCATATTTTAAGAAAAATAATCACTAAACATGTCTGTGAATATACAATAACAGTGTATAATTTATAATATTCTTGAAGATCTAGCCATATATTTGTAATCAATTTGCAAAAAGTATAACTGGTTAAAAAATATAAAGCAATCAATTGGTTTAATGAAATCTCGCAATATATTTGAGAAAGAATCAAAGTGCAAAAATTTACGATGTGGCTTATAGATATAACTTTTAGATATAGTTTGTTTCAGACATAATTTTAATTTTGGTCGTGATATATGTATGTAATTTCAGGTCACTGCAACACCAGGTCAATATAAATCCTTGCCGAGAGATTTGAATAATAAGTATCAATTAACATATGGACTCGAAAGTAGTCCACATCTTCCAAAACGATGTCCTCCATCACCTCCAAGACGACAAAGCTCTAGAGATACAACTAATTCTTCCGTAATCGCTGTTGGTGGCTCGGTGATCGGTGACGTCGTGATAGACTGCAGCGGACCGGTGCCAACCGCTTCATGTGACGATCATCTTATTCATCATCACCAACATTTGCTTCATCATCCGTCGCCGCCACCACCGGCGCCTACGCCGGTGCCTACGTCAGTATCTTCCACACCACCGCAATTAAATCGACCGTCTTCTTCCATGTCACGTTCTTGGGGTAGCGTTAGTATTAACATTAATGAAGAACACGAGTTAATTGCATCTCTCGCCCTGCAACATCGCAACGGATCAGATGCTAGTTTTAAAGTACGTTAATTTTGAAAGTTTTTACCATATCTATTTAATTTTTTTGCGATTTTTAATATATACACTAAAAAAAAATTCTTAAATCTAAATAATATTTTCTTAAATAGTATTAAGTAAATATTTTTCTACTGCAGATAAATATTTATTAAAAAAGAAATTAATACTTAAATTAAATAATATATGTTTACCTTATTTTGTAAATACTTATTTACAATAAGGAAATGTTTATTTAGTACTTTCAAGAAAATATTGTAAGAAATTTATCTTCATTGGCTAGTTAACGATAGTGACAATTGTCGATAAAACGTTTAGAGAATCGCACAATATTTAAATTTTTATAGGCTTAATTCAGTTTTTTTAAATTCCTTAATGTATATATTAGTACATTTGTTTTATTTTTATATTTACAGTCAAGTTCCAGTACAGAATCAGATTCGTTGCCGTTTGCCAATGAGAATGCTGGTACGATAAAACAAAGGGCTAACCGAGCACAAGAATACATAGCGGGTGGTCCTAATAGTAGTATAAGTGGTCATATAGTCAATCATCATTCCAATGGCGGAGAACCTGCGGATGTTTTGAACGACATTGGAAATATGCTTGCCAATCTTACAGATGAGCTCGATGCAATGCTCGAAGAAGAGAAACGCCAAGGCCTGAACTCATAATCGTCACTGCCTTCGTTTGCACTTTTCTATCTAATTAAAGTTGCCATAGAAATGCAGGCTTTGATACATGAAATAAATAAACTTGATTAGTGCAACGTGTACACAATTATAGATACAAGTGAATACAATTCATGACGAAATAAACTGATGGAATCGTGTTGAGAATCGAATATCTCGAATTCTAAGATCCACAAAGACGGAAATATTTACTAATATAAATCTATGTCTTCGTTGCGAAAAGAACAGAATCTTTTATTCCAAAAAAAAAAAAAAATAAAAAATAAATTACGTCATTCGAAATCGATGAAACTATTGTTTCATATTGTACAGATTAATGAATATCCAAAATACATCTATTTTCGCGTGATTTATGTTTTGCTTTGATTTTTTTCGGTTCTTTATTGAGATAAAAATACTTTATACTTTTGCATAGAAACATCTTGAATGTGCCAGCAAATTTCCAAACGCAGTTGTGGTATTACATTTATACTGGTATTGCACAATCCTTTTCTATTTCTTTTTGGAGTAATTCTATAATCATATTCCTTTTTATTAGCCTTTTTTTACAATGGACAATATTACAAACAAGTGATAATACAATACGTGTTGCTCTATTCTATATAAATTAGGGCAACTCAAAGTATTCAAACAAATATGAAATACTGACGTAGCAAGGAGAGGGGGAAGGGAAAAAAATATTAACAAATATAAATATATTTGTATAATTATAATTTGTACTACAGATCGTATTACAAACAATTCGAAAAGAACACATGTTTTCTGTATAAAATCTTTTTATATCTGTAACAAATTTGTAATTAATCAAATCTAACTCCTTTTCTCTATAAAATTTGGTTTTCGTTAATATACGTACATTCCAATTGATTTTTCCATTTCCGTCCTTCCTTAAATTGATAATACAATAGAAATCGAAAATTTTCTCATAGTTGACTTCGTAAAAGAGCAAGAGGCAAGGAAAGATAATTGTGTTCCATCACCCAAATAAAGCAGCCCCGAATGTTAGAGACATATTCATAGAGAAATTGTTACAATGATAAAGAATTAACAGCTGCATCTTGTATGAATTTATAAGCTTTTGTATGATTTTTTAGAAAGTCACAAGATATAATTCGTTAATAAGAGTTTTATAAGAAATGTTATCAATCGTATACTTAGACTTTCAAGGTAATATGGTTTAGTACAGAAATATAAGTAGTGTATGCTAATTAACACTTTATATTATTATCTGTACTAATTAATTTAGAAATATGACTTACTATTATTATATGACACACCTAGATATGTGAAGCAGTGGAAAGTATTCATATGTATTAAATCAAAGTAGCTGTGGAGACACTTTTGAGATAAGACTCGAAATGATCTTCCGAAAATGTATGTTATTAGTATGTTCTGCGATCTGGATGTATTTTGCAAGAAATTTCTTTTACAATGTACTATTTATACGAGGGTTAACCAGAAAATAAGTTCCGATGGCCTATTAAAAGAAAACAAGTCTATACTTACAGAAAATTTTTTATTGCTTTTTAAAATACACACCTTACTATTCCGCTACATAGTTACCATTGTTGATGACTTATTATAGCGGGGCACCAGGCGTTGTATTCCTTCGTCATCAGAAAGTTGCCGCCTACAAAATTTCTAGAAAATACAGGGAAAAAGACTTCATAATAAATCGTCTGTTCTCTTTAATTTTCTCTTCAACTATACGTATCAATTCGTCATTGATTACGTTTAGACGACACTTTTATGCCCATTTCTACCAATGCGGTTTAACTTTAATTTCAGTTCAACTAACTTTTCATCTTTTTCTAGTTTTAAGAATAAGAAAAAGATGAAGAGTAAGTTGAATTGAGATTAAAGTTAATCTACATTAGTAGAAAGAAGCATTGATCGGATTTAATAACATCCATAACATTTATAAAACTGATCAATCACAGTCATTCCATTCTTTAGAGAAATATTTATAATTGGCCAGTTTCATAACATCGAGTTTCATAACTTCGACGTAAATCGAAACATGTAATTATTAACCACAGACGTGGTTCGTTTCGTTCATCGTGCACATTTTTGCGTTTTTCATTGAAAAATCACACCTATCTCTATACTATACCCATACAGCAAAACTTGATCTTACAGATGTATGTCGAGGGATTTTCAAACATTCAAAGTACGTGTCTGAAGAAACTTAAGGCTAAATTGAGGTGTCGAATTTATATGTCTCATTCATAGGACATCACTGTTTAAATATCATTAGGATATTTCTGGATGATCAAATTTCATCCTGTCTTTATCCAGTGGATGTCCTTCCTAAAATGTCTTTCAAATTAAACCCTTTTAAGTTAAATTCTTCTAGAAAAATACTACTGAGCACTACTGCGCAGTGCGCAGTAATACTTTTTTACAAGAATATATCCGCGTCTCGGTATGATACAAAATGCAGGAAAAGAGTATTGGCTTCTGCACACTGGATGCGGAAACGTTTGCCGCGCGGCAAAATGTGATGCGGTAGCCAATAAGCTTACAGCTTCTAATGTATTCATTGGTTACCGCGTCACATGAAACTAATCATAGTTAATTACGTTACTGTCATTTTCTATTTGCTTCATTATCGAACTAGTAAGTGACAGTAAGTGACAGTGATGAATTCCATTTGTATACGCCTCTTTATAGGGATCCGCATCATTTTCTCTTTACGGAAAACGAATCTATCTCGCGGTGGCGAGATATATATACATATATATAAAGGGTGTCCCAAAATTAACGCAAGATTTGAATTAAATAGAAAACACAGTTTTTAGTCTTTTGATTGTTATTTTTTTATTGAATCATAAAGTACATAGGATAGGGTTATTTGTGGAATAACACATCGGGCAAATGGCCTCCACAGCTTTGCATGCACATACGTTTTCACGCCTCATTTTCACTAACCCTAAACTGTCAGCTGTTAAATTGTTTTTTTTTTGGGTTGCCAACACTTTACTGCACAAATGGCGGCAAATTCAAATCTTGCGTTAATTTTGGGACACCCTTTATATATATATATATATACATATATACTGCGTACTCACGCCGCTTGCTTGGCGGCGCCCGTAATGTACAATAGTATACGTACGCTAGAGTAAGTACAGAGTGACGCCAATGCATGTGCCTAACGCTGATTGGTTACGCCATTAGATGTCTTTACTGTTAATTAGAAGAAGACAACGTTAAAGAAAGAAGAGGTTAAGGCAAGGAATTGCGTCACATAGATACCCCAGTGTCATGTAGGATACCAAATGGCGACTTCCGGTTAATTGGCGTTTATTATTATTGGCTCTTTATATCTAGAGACCCTTTAATCAGAGACTGGTCATCAGAATTTCATCAAATTTCTTCAAGCGAGAAAGGAGTATAGGCCATCTCACTCCTTTCTCGAAGAAACTTGACGAAATCCTTATGGCCAGTCTCTGATTAAAGGGTCTGTATTTATATCCACTCTTGACGCCTATAGCGTACGTGTAGACGTATACTCTGCCAGCCCAGACAAGCTACCAGAAATTTCAACCTACCAGAAATCATGTATTGTGGAATACACAGTTTCTGATAGGTTGAAATTCTTGTTCTCTGTTCCTTATTCCTTTAATTTATTGTGCGAAGCCCCTAATAGTATTTCGTTGGTGCTTGTGCTAAAGCTGCTCCTTCTTCGATTAGAGAAAAAAATGGCGGATTAAATGGCCAATGAAAACACTCAAAATCAGATTTCTGATAATTTGTTGTTAAAAGATCTTTAACAAAATTTATTTTATTGACCTCGATCAAATTCGACCGTCACTCCAGCATCTCCTTATTATGATAAAATTCTGGTGCGTTAAATATCTTCTTTATCCTGCACAATTTATGTGAATGTAAACTGACACGCAGTACGTCCACTTTCAATATTACGATTTTATCGACGTGTTACAAAAATGGACGTAATATATACGTAGTTTCTGTATCTCGAATATGGACGATGGTGCGCTAGTGTAGCAGAGGATTAGAAGCGTTGCATGCAGTTGCATGAAAAAGATTGGTATGTACGCATCTTATCTCTCTGTTGAAACTTTCTTGTTGTTGCCAAACTTCAAATGTATATTTATTTCATTTTAAGTATGAAGAGTGTACATATGATAAATTCTATTACAAATCATATCTATAATTAAACGTAGAAAAAAAAGAAAAGTACTAAGAAAGTTAAGCTACAAAGAAACTAGCTTTTGTTTTATTTACTAAGAGTGCCAAAGTAAACTATATACTCTTAATGTATGTGTCATTATCACATACGTAAACAAAAAATAGCCATATAATAAGTGGTGTATCATCAGTCTGCCATTGTTTCTCATAAACAATGGCGTGGTCAAATTTTCAATGTACTTTAGCAATACTTCAAATAATTACAGGTTCATTTAATACTTTATCAGTTAAGTAAGTATTATATTTTTAAACTATGTACATACACACATATACAGTATAAAGAATAAAATTATAATGCAGAAGAAAATGTATAATTAATTTTATAAATATTATAATTAACTTTAAATTAAAATTTATTTAGATATGCAGATAAACAAATTGTACTTGGTGAAGATGGGCAACTTAGATATTTCAATCATCCTTTTATGCAATCATCATTTATGTTTCTTGGAGAAGCTCTTTGTTTTTTAGCGTTTAAAGTCTTTTACTACTATTATAATCGACGAGGTGTAAGTATTTATGATTTTTGTTCTCTGTAAAATAAATAAATTTATTATTATGTTAATTTATTCTCAGGATGGCTCTGTAGATAATAATGTACTCACCAAAGGTTCAAGGATTTTTAATCCTTTTATTTTAATAGTGCCTGCATTATGTGATATGTTTGCAACATCCATAATGTATGTTGGCTTGAATATGACTTATGCAAGTAGCTTCCAAATGTTGCGTGGATCAGTAATTGTTTTCACAGGAATGCTTTCTATTGGATTTCTTAATAGAAAATTGGGAGTAAGAGAATGGATAGGCATTGGTTTTGTTGTAATAGGTTTAATATTTGTTGGTATTAGTGATATATTAGTAATGGAAAACGATGATGTCAGTGCAAATTCTGTAATCACTGGGGATTTGCTTATTATATTTGCCCAGGTACATCTTTATTATTGATTTTTTTATATTATATGTATAAAACTTAGTAATTATAAATTTAATAAAGTAAAAGAATCTTAAATAATCTCAAAAATTGAAATCATAAAAATAGGACTATGAGTCAAGCAACATCTTGATGCTGAATTATTAAGCAACAAGCAAAAGTTTATTCTAACATATATATTTTTACCACAATTAGGTTTAATTCTAAATGTTAACAAATTTATAATTAAACATTCAACCAGTGTATAATATTTGTCATTACTCTATGATTAGATTGTTAAAACAAAATTTAGACACAAAAACATGTTAAATTACTTTTGTATTTTCACTAGTTAACAGATTAAAGATCGGAGTTTTAATACAAAAGACGTCAAGAAATAAAAGAACTATTAAATTCGACGATTCTGATCTATGCATTAATTCATGGCAGCTTCCGATTGACTCTATTTAAAATATCCGTTAATTATTGAAAATACAAAAGCGAGTAATTTAAGATTTTTTTTTGAATTTTATTGTTTTAATAAACTAATTATAGTGATGGCAATTATTATATACTGATTGGGATCAAAACATATGTTAGAATAAACTTTTGTTTGTTGTTTAATAATACAATATCAAGACCTTGTTCTTCACTTGTAGCCTAGTTCTTATTATTTTAGTAATTTTATTAACAATTTAATTATACTTGCTTAAGCTAAATACCTAATTATGCAGAGATAAATATGTTTAATTTCATAAAATTATTTTCAAATTTCAAATATTCTAGATAATAACAGCTGTTCAAATGGTTGTTGAAGAAAAATATGTGGGACAGCAAGATATTCCTGCGTTACAAGCAATTGGATGGGAAGGTTAGTATAATTTTTACATTTTTTTAAA